CTGGCCTTACTACTAGGAGCAAGAAGCTACTAGTAATAAGTGCCTTATTAGTAGTAACAAACATATAACTATTAATTAGTATATAATTAGTTATGTTGTGCTAGAATCTCCGGTCATCCCATGAAGCCCCATCGCTGGTTTCCAGCGCCGAAAGACCGTCAAACACCCGGTCAACACATGCACACGGCTGTGTGTTTGAGGTCCTGGTACACCAACTCTCACACATTTTGGGCAAGAAGCGCATCCCATGGAGTCAGGCCAGGCGCATGATGTCACTTCAGCACAGATTGACCAAGATCGTGTTAAATTCAAAGTCAGGTGATCGCAATGTTAAGGAAGCTGCACAACTTTTCTTGTCATTTGCTACACATGGCAATGAAACAGATGGGTTTGGACCTTGAGCCCAAGAAGTGCCACAGCGGATGCCCTGATTTTTTCCCGCCAGTTGGACTTTGCGCCACTGCGGAAGCGTCACGCCAATGACCCGCGACGCTCTCTGACCGAGATGCTGCCACTGTCCGTGAACCGTTTGGGACTCAGAGGGGTACAGGGCTGGCCATGGCGTGCTGAGGGGACCAAGTGGCCAGCAGCGCGATGCACAGAACGCATAGCAGGATATTTACCAGGCTACCGCCTGCAGCCGCCGACCCCCAAGGGATAGAACCTTAGCGCTAGCCTTGCCTCAAGCCTTAGCCTTAGCCTTAAGAGTGCAGACCCAACCCAGCACCACCAAAGCAGGTACCCAAAAAGTCGACTTTTTGGGTACCTCCCAGATTTACCATCGGACGTCAGCTCTTGCATGAACCCCGATCATTGCCCAAGAATTTAGACACAACCCTTCACCACCAAAGCAGGTACCCAAAAAGTCGACTTTTTGGGTACCTCCCAGGTTTACCAATTTAGACCCAACCCAGCACCACCAAAGCAGGTACCCAAAAAGACAAAGCCTAGAGCATTCCTAGGAAAATGCCAGAAAAGCTTTTGAAAATCTCATAAACCAACAGAAAACGTGACAAAATCTACGAAAAAGCAAGGGCATTGGCCGGGACCATGCCGCGACCAGCCCGGGATTCGAGCCCAGGACCATTTTGGACCGTGCTTATTTTCCCGCGCGGGTCGAGAGGGTGCCCCAAGATGTAAATCAATTGGGATGGCAGATTCTTGGACAATCCAGGTCGCTTTCCCGGCAGGATTTCGTCACTGCAACAAGGGTCCGGAGGGGTAGGGGAGGTAAGGTCTAGGTCTAGGTCTAAGGCTAAGGACTAGGTCTAAGGTCTAAGGCTAAGGCTAAGGCTAAGGCTTAAGGCTAAGGCTAACATCGACAGTCACGCCTCACCCCACGGTGTGGGGTCGGCGGATTTTAGGTGGACGGGAGCTTTGTATATAATATACTGAATGTACACTGTAATAATATAATAGTAGCTTTGTCGTATTTGCGTGCATATTCATATGTCAAGGAACCAACTGAATATACTGAATGTTTCCAGGCGATCAAACAAGTCGCTTGCCTTGGTTCAGGAAAGCCAAAACTCACCCGTACCTATGCCCCGTTGACTGGAGGCATTCGTTTGGTCAAGGCGCAGCCTAATGTCATCAACTTGAGCGGACGGGATGAGGCAGGATGGATTGTCAGTGAAGGTCAGTTATTGACAAGTGCCGTTCGTACAAAACTATGGATGGTCATCATGTTTATCATGGTATCCTGTCAAATGTGAACTCAAGGGATCCTGACAGTATTTATGGTAGCTAGTTTGGGTGATTTGGGGCATGTTTGGTTTGAATGTGTTGGTTCTTTTTACTGCTATTTGGCAGCCCTTCACGTTTGTTCAGTTCGGGTCTCTCTCGCATCTTGGAGTCACCACGGTACTCTCGTGTGGCCCTGCGCCTCCTTAAGGGCTACGTGTCCGCTACTAGCTACTGGACACAGTATACATAGCTCACACTATTCATTTGGCTCCTGGATCGGAGTGGAGCGGTCAGGGTGCCGGAAGCTTCGGTCTTGTTCCTAGTAGCGTCCGATCGCTCCTAGTAGTAAGGCCAGGAGCCCCTAGTAGCGTCCTTGCTCCCAGTAGCGATGCCCGTTGTTCCTAGTAGCGAACGTTGGTCCTAGTAGTGAGACCATGCCATGCCTGGCCAGGCCGACATGAGCCGCCACTTTCTCATGTCGGGCTACCCCGCCAGCTGGAAGAAGTGGGACTTGATGAAGGTGGATTTGTCGCCGCCAAATCACAGCGTACAATCTGGTGGTCCCGGTGGTTCGTTAGGGATTCAAGGAGACATCAATGGAGTGTTATTGGTGTGCAGGAAGGCTGTATTTGGGCAGAGCTCAGGCTTTTCTTGGTGTGAAAATGAAGGTTAGACATTGTATTTGGTAGGGTGTCAGCAAGTACAGCTGGGTTGCTTGTACTCCCAGATGCTTGGGTGACCATCCCATTGATCAGACTGTGTGGGTGTAGGGCTATCACGAGTTGCTCAGTGACACCCACACAATCTGCCCAGGATCATCCAAGTGATCCAGGTGTTCCATGGTGCTCTCCTTGTGAATGCTTGCGAATTTGTCTTTGGAGGTGTGGTCTCCACTATGGGTGGGCCTCTCCTACATCGATGACACCTCCTGCTGGGTCATCGCCAGGATTCGCTCACATTCACCTGCTGAGTTTTGTGGGGCTAAAGCGGTCATTCCTCAGCTTTTAGGAGCAAGGGCATCGCTACTAGGGGCTCCTGGCTGGCCTTACTACTAGGAGCAAGAAGCTACTAGTATCTACTAGTTGGGACAGGTTGAGAGACCTGTCCGCCCTTTCACCGGAGAGTTTGGACCGACGCACCTTGCCGCAAGTACTTGCATCTTGAAGCCCCAAGTCATCAGCATGAGGTCTTTAAAGTTCCCAAGCGGCTCATGATTAGAGCTTTGAAACGACCCAACGCTTCAGCAGTCATGTGTGTCCTTGTTTGCAAATGTTCACAGTCCGCTGCAAAGTGCCAACATGTACGAAACAATAAAGATAAAGAGAATATCAATAATATAACTCCACCCGCAAGCTTTGCACTAGAAGGTGCAAAAGATGCACAAGGCTTATTTGGGTTCATGGGCATCACAGGTCAGGAAGCAAAGTGGTGCTCTCTTTCCGACCAATCCCCGCAGGAATGAAGCCGATGCGATCAGCATCCAGAAGATCTACAAGATGATTGAGGTATCGGTAATTCCACGTGCCAATGAGAGGATTCAAACATCCCTGCTTTGGTGTGGATATGTGTGGATGATCGTACTGTACTAGCTGACAACTGGTGATTGGAAGTCATTAGTCCGATTATTTGTTTGCACACCACTTTTGGCTCATCGAGGCAGTTGGTCCATGTAAGTTCTTCAATTGGGGTCATAAGGAGGTGGTACTGTAAGCGTTTCACACAACACTCTTGAGATTGCTGTAGAGTAGTCGGCCTCACTCATGGCACCTGCTTGGTGTCACGTCAGCTGCAATTCTAGGTTTCGAAGATGCCAAACTTGCTGAAGAATCCTATCACATCCACTGGTAGCGCTTCCAAGTCTTCATTTTTGGTTGTGCCTGGGGTGTACTTCCGGAACCGTTTTTTTTTCTCCTTGAGACTAAGTATGAAGCTGTGATTGACTGGCCATGTAGCCCCCCCTTATGCATTGCCCACGCGTGCCACCGTCAAGGAGCCGAGCTTCAAGCTGATGAGCTATGAGGAGCACAAGGCTGCCGAGGCGGATTGGCTGCTGACGCTAGGGCCGCTAGGCCGCTAGGGTCAGATCCACGATGGGTGTAGAAGAATGAGTCATTTGGTAATTTTTCTGTAGAAGTATCGCATGTGCAATGAAGTATCGCAATCTTCCACGATGATAGTATTTCAAGTTGATGAATGATGATCACGGCGGCATCTTGCTCAAGCTGAGCGATGAAAGCATACTAACTTTCCCACAGTTAGCGGTGGCATACAATTGTTGCCTGTAAAATCATGTAAAAATATATAGATACAGACGGCATTGTAGTCCTGCGTGTGCACACTCACACACTCCGTACTGCTCCATGTTTCTCACACAGGCGGACTCTGTCGCCCCCGCAGATTGAGCGCCCTTGGAGAAACAAGGGGCGTCAACTGTGCTGCAGTTGCTGTGGATAGATGGAAAAAACTGGAGAAAGACTCCAACATGTCTACAGGTTTGTTAGATGGCTAAAGCAATGGGAAGGATCGCATTGCATCGTAGCATTCTTTCTGAGAAGGAAAGGCAACTCCCCAGGAAAGCTGCACCAGACTGCCAGAAGTGGTAGGATAAGCAATTTGTTTGATGCTGCGCAAGGTTCTTTTGAGGATTTGTACAAGGCTTAAACCCCATTTTCGGGAACTGGCGGAATGGCAGATCGAGTCTTCAAACCCACGAGCTTTGGTCAGGACTCCCGGAGCCGGAGGAAGAGCCAGAGGCCATGTGCTAAAAACCGGTGGTCAAACAGCAGCGTACTATGTTTTTGACTTGCAAAACAAGCAGACCAAGGCTTCAAGGGGCTTGGTTAAGTTATATAACCTGAAACAATACCAAGGCTATTGACGCGCCATTGAATTATTCAGCTCACGATGTGTGTAGTGCTTTGGTGGATATTTCCACCTGCCTCGACATATCCACTTGGGATTAGCTACTCCACCAGACACCCAGGTATTCTGACAGTATCGGACAGGTCTCCAGAGACCACCAATAGATCCTACACTCATCTCACACACTATCTCCAACGCTGCACTCCACAGGTGTGCCTGCCCACGCGCCAGGCCCGGTGAATCTGCCTTTGCACTCAGATCGGACTTACCCCCCCGCAAATCTCAGATCTACACAGGAGACTGACTCCAGATTGAATGACTCCGGTATGACCCTCAAAAAGCCGTTCGATGGACATTTGTGAGGTGATGAAGACAGCTTGTATGTTCTAGCCGCTTACCACCGAATCCACATGTTCTCAAATCCACAACACTGTTTTTTGATGCCCTGGCTCCTTTGAAGAGATCAAGCATGGGCAATGCAGCGATGAGCACGAGCCAACTCCCTGCCAGATGCTTCCATCATGAACCCGCGGCACTGAACATCAATATGGTTCCCCCGAAACAGGTAGAAACTTGCTTGGAACAGGTGTTGGAAACCATTTCTATCCATTTCTCAAAAAGGCATCCCAACCCCATTCATTCTTCATGGTCCAGGCCTCACATCGCTCAAGTGCCTCAGAGGCTGGAGATAGGGGTGGCCCATTTCATAAAGATGGGAACCACACGGTTTCAGGTGTCAAGCATGGTTTCTAGCTTGTTTCACACTTGTCCGCCAAGCGGTGCTTGACACCTTGTCCATCCTTGTCCTCTTTGCTCTGCCCGGTTTGGACCCACATCACAGAGTTGATGGCATTTCTAGCAGGCTAATGACACTCTCAATGTCTTACACCTTTGCTGCTCACTGTTCAAGAGTATGACGATATGACCCTCGTCAAAGCACTATAGACAAGACACATGTTGACTTGGTTGCACTTTGTATTCCGCACTTTTGTTGCGGACCAGTGGTTTGCATAGTGAAGATAGATTGGAGATGGTACCCATGCAGAAGCCGGTGATTAATCATTCTCAGGTTGGACAACATACGTCAATCAATTCGTTTCTGACTTTGTGTCAAGGCTACCCCGACTTGGGTTAGCTGCATCGTGGAAGCAGAATAATTCCTCAAGTTCCAGAGCAAGAGGATTGCCTCATGTACAGTATGTCCTTTAGCATCTGAAAATCTGAAGGTCCTGGCACTCAACCCCTTAGCGGCAGCCTATGATCTCAAGACACAAAGCGGTGTGTATTTAATTGTACACATGAATATGTAAGCATGAAATTGAACTTGTTTCAGCAACTCGCTGCACAAACCGTCTTAAAATGCTCCAAAAAGAAACTGAAACCTTCTGAATTGACAAAGAATTCGATCCAACCCTCTTCGCCAGGGCGCTGCGTCGCTGCGTCTGGCGGAGACCGATGTGCCTGAGGTCCAACTTAGTGCCATGGGAAGTTATGCTATATGTAACACACTAACAAGTTGCAGTGGCCTAGTACGGCTTTGACTGTGATCTCAGCCGGATGTAGACAGAACAAGTCTGATAAGCAGTATCTCAATATCAAGCGCTTGGAAAGCTGTCCACATAGAGATCTTAACTTAGGCTCCAAGTATCTTAGTCTTACCCAATCAAAGCAGGTGCATAGACCTTTGCCAGGTCGTTCCACCCTGTATAGCACGTTCTGCACGGACACCCAGAAAGATGTGACGCGAACATGGCATGATAACTTGCTGGGAGATAAACCCACCAAGCGTACAACACCTGGTAATTATTGGATGGAAGATGGCTTTTGGTCCAGTGAAGAAATGCTTCTAGGTGCCTGTTGGATGTTGCATGTAGTGTTGTAGTATGCTCAAATAATTTGAGCATACTGCAATACTACATGCAACATCCAAATAGAACCAGCCACACCAGGACTTGCGGTCGCAAAAATCACTGGATAAAGGGGGACCACTTTGGCAAGAAGACAAAAGTCACCTGTTGCTGCAGCAGCTAAAACCGCATAGTGGTCTAGCAACTATGTGATAAAGCATGTGTCATCCAGATTGTTCATCTGCAAGACAACTATCAACGGCCAGTGTCCTTGTCCGCACCCTGCTTGCACTTCACTTGACATAGCAGCAGTTGGTCAGTCTGCAAGACAGCTGTCAATGAATTCAAAAGAAGCTGGAGCCCAACAGACTCATTTCAAGACTCGCCTCCAGAGGTTTCTCTTTGATCATTCCGGCGAGCAAATCCAAACGCATGACGGCTCTTTCATCTCACCCGCAGTTCGGGCGGTGAGAGCCTGTTGGGTGGCAAGCTGCAGACTCGGTCACTATTAAGATCTAGCGTCCTTGTTCCTAGTAGCGATGCCCTTTGCTCCTAGTAGCGTCCTATTCAGTTGTATACATTCCGAATGGCAACTTTCGACACTTCACCTTCGCAGCAACAACGACAACTGCGCTACGTGGACATTCTGGTTCAAGTGTCAATTGGGTCACTTCTTCTCAAAAGGCAATGTTCCGCTCTTTGTTTTCAGCTTCAGGCGGGCGAATCATCTTCGAAGTTCATTGATGGGTGCCAAGTTTGTTGAAGGGCTACCTGTGGTTGCCTCAAATCATCTCAAACCCAATCTCAGGGGAAACGCGGACACACTCTATGGCGGAGATTTGGGTAAATATTGATACACATACTCCAGTGGCCTTTAAGATTCTTTATGAATATTCAAGTATATAATAAGAAATATATAAAGATAAAAACCTCTTTCTGCCTCTCGCGCACACGATTGAGTGTGACACGGCCTGCAGCTTTCCACTGCATGGCCACGGATGTAGGCCCACCCCACGGGCGAAGCACCAAATTAAAAGAATCAAGTGCAAATGGAAAAAACTTCTTTGATTGTGGGTTACTCCAGAGATGCGCTGAAAGGCCGACCAAACACACGAGGTGAACATGGCGCTTCAGAGCCCCCCCTGTTCGAGCAGCGCTCCACCGGTGAAACTGCTGGTGATTCAAGCAGACGACTATGATTGGCCTGTTGCTTGGCTGGACAAGCCTGTTGACAGCATACTTCTCACTAAAAATCAATTTTGCATTTCTTGGGAGCCAGTCCCATCGCCACGGTACGCGTTCACGCCACTTCAGGCCATGTTGAAGGGCGCCACATTGCAGGACCATCATCGGACCCTGTGCAACAGCACAACGGTCAGGATTGTGTATTCCATCCCTCGGCTCTTCTTCCCTTGCAACAATTCAAAATTGAGTATAAATATATAACTATAAAGTGCACAACGCAATTGCTGTGTTGCAGGAACCTCGTTGTCCTTGACCTGTCAGTTTTTTTCCTGGCCGCCAGCTTGATGGAAGTCCACCATTAGGATCATTAGGAACATATGTGAGATATCTCAAGCCATTGGCACTTCAGTCCAAGATGCTCATTCAACAACATGGTTTCAGAAGGTGTTTTGCCTAATTGACAAGAAGTGTTTGCGGGCGTAGCATGCTACATGTGTTCAAGATCTTGGTTTGGACTGCCATATCAAAATCAGCCGATTGTGCATTGGCTGCATTTACTACGTTTGCATAGTTTAGTTTTGTCTTAGATTGATTTTATCTATTTCGCATGGACGGTACGCAGCGAGAATGGATGCGAGCAATGAAGATGATGTCCAGATTGTTGCCCTTGGACGGCAAAGGATTTCCTATCAGACTCCCGCTGGGAACGCTGGTTGCCACCCATGTCAATTGTTTTTGGAAACTGCCGGATTCGAGTTTCCTTGTCGAGAGAACTTATTACCATCAGAACTATCGAGAGTTTGTGGTCCCTGCAGAAAATATGGACTGGCATGGACTCTGGGAAAGCAGTTCTCACAGGTTTGTTTTCCAGTTCACGTTCGACTACTGCTGCTCTTTTTGTTTGCAATGTCCACAAAAGTCAGCAATCCAAGCCGGAAAGAAGAACTATCGTGTTCCTTTAGTGTTTGCAGGTATGATAAAAACAAATCTCAAGTATGATTGTATTTTTCAGACCATACAGAATCAGTTTTTTTTGCAGCATGTCAATCTGTACTACTTTTGGGTCAAGTCCATTACACAACTGTTTGACAGAGCTGTTTTGCTTCTCCATTCCTTAATCAAGAATCAATATGTCCAATGCAAGCAAAAATGCAACAGTTTCCCCAATCAGCAAGGAATCTGTTGGGATTGATTTGTTGGTTGATGGCAAGCGAAGCACTATATAACCCCTGAGGTAACGGTAAGGGCATTCCATTCCAGTTGCCCAAATCCAAAGAGGGTGACCTGAGCTCACCACTTGCATTCTTCTTCACCTGCACTAGCCTCTTGATTTTTGCAGCCACCCAATGTCCCCAATGTCGATGCTGATCCTCAGATTCCAGAGCTAGAATCTCTAGCCACGAAAGCTGAGAGGACGGTCGACCCATCCTTGTCTTCCAGACCGGGTGGCCCGACATCCACGTGCACTGCTCGACCTACTCGTCAGCAAGGAGACTGGTGAAATTAGGATCCGTCCGTTTACGCTTCTCGATTCCTATTGCACAATGTGTTCCATCGCTATTTCTTTTTGACATGTGTTTCTTCCAGTTGAGGATGAGAGCTAGACTACTGGGGGCTCACCAACCTTCACCAGAGGTTCATGGTCATGGTTTGGTGTTCAGAATCTGCTTTGTTGGGTGGTGAAACCGGTGAAACTCATTCCTTGACTGGGCAAAGCAAGGTATGTGATCTCTTGAAACATCCCACTGCTGCGCTTGACACACAAGGTAATTAAATGATATTAAATGTAATTGATATCTTGCAGAATCATGCAGCTGAGCAAAGCATCAGGATGTGTTTTGGTTTAGTGTTCCAGGGGGCATTCATCACTTGCAAATTGTGACGGAATGATATTGGGCAAACCAAGAAAGAGCATTGAGTCGATTGAGTTGTGTTTCAATCGTGCCCAGAGGATCCTCAACTTGTCTCTTAAACACTCTTAAACACCAATTCCTAGTGTTTCACCCTCGCCTCAGCTGGCAGGATTTGTGTTGAGATGATGAGCTGGGCCAAGACAGCCACGCTCCCGGATGGCTATGTGTCGAACCGACGGATCACCATTCAGCCAGATTTCGTGCTCGTGAGGAACGAAGTGAGCCTCGATATGCGTGTTTTCGTGGAGCTGTAGGGGATCGAGCTTTGTCAGATTCATCCGAATGTGTGGACTCGAGATTTGTTTGTGGAGACGCACTGAAACCTGGGTGGATCATGTATCTAGCGGAATCTAGTGTTTGTTTGACCGAGCTTTCCACAAATCCTGAGGAAGACCCCATCCTTCGATGGCAGGAGCAAGTTGAATGGCCTTCTGTTTGCCGGTGGCGGAGCTGCAGATCGTCCCGACCCCATAGACATAGCCCGCATGAACCACGGATTTGCTTCACTTCCAGAGCGTATGTGGTAACCCTTGGGAACCCTTTCCTTGTGAAGTCAAAAAGTGCAGTGGGAAGATTCGTCAACCAGCAACTGGTTTAACCCTCCCACACAAATAAGAGGCTAAAGTCGCCACATGATGTCACACCAGAATGGTTTTCATTATCACTATCACATGTTATCAAATGTTATCAAAGCGTTATCACTAACTATAGCACCACTCCAAGCGTTACTGACAGAAGCTGAGCCTTGCCTAGAAGTGAACACCAAACTGAACTCAGAGCACAATGATTCTCAAGTGACTGTCAGACTGTTTCAGACTCTGAGGTGTTCCTTGCATGAACTCGCTGGAGTCGATCCTTCTCTTCTGTGAGCGCCCGGCGGTGCAGGGCGCCCTCCACCGCTTGCAGCGCGCCGGCGCAGACTTCCCAGTGGTACCGCCACTCGGTGGACGGAGTTGGACATTCTTTCGGTCCGTTCGGTGGAATCCAAAATTGAAACCACAAAGTAAGTGCCATGAGGTCCAGCTTTGAAAAACTGAGAAAACAACGAGGATTGTGTCAGAGTTTGTGCCAGATTCATACATTATGATACACATTTCATTAGTAATGTTCATTAATGTTCATTACATGTGCGTTACAATTCGACAGTTTTCACAGCAAGTTCAGGAAGTGAGACCCCTATCGGTGCTTTCTTGATGCGGCGTGGCAACCCCGCCCAAATGTCGAAGTCGCTCCGACCCTCCGATCGCCGTTCCGAACGGCGACGGTGTCCAGGCAGCACTTCTGTTCTTCTTCGAAAAGCTTGATGCCTCTCGGCACGAGCGGATTCCGAAAGAGACTCCACGACATTCTGCACTGTTTGGGGGTACCATGCAAAGGAAGTTTAAGCTTGGCTCAGTGGCACGGTGACACTTTTCAGGTGAAATCCAATGATGCGTTCGTGAAGTTGGGTTAGTTCGTGACCATTGATCCAGGACTATTGTTTAACTCAATGACTATGACCATCAATACGACCGGGCATGTCTCCATGAGCCACGGGGCCGTCCGAACACGTTAGGAATCGTTTGGTGCTGAGTCTGGAGTTCCATGGAGTTCGTTCGAGCAAGTTCATCCTGAGTGCATCGCCTCGACAGGTACGGCTACACGTTCCCTGCTGTGGTGAAGGTGGGCTCTGCACACGCTGGCTGTGGAAAGATGAAGATTCACGAGCCTGGGCTGTTAAGCGCGGGTCTATTGAGGGAGGTTTCCTTGGTACCACTGAACTAACGCTGACGTGCGTGCAAGTCTTGTACGGCCTGCTAAAGCAAAACGGCACCTGTTCGGTCACTAAAGTCCTTGATCTCAGTTCTTAATCCATGCATGGCTACATGGTCCAATGGATTGCGGTCCACGTGAGGATCACAAACAAATGTCAGACTTCCGCTCGATCTTGGAGATGATGCCAGATGAGCACTGCATGGTGGAGCCCTTCATCGAGAGCCAAGGGGATTTGAATCTTGGTAGACAGTACGTACCTATTGGAGAAGTAGACAAAATAGACTTGAATTCAAAATGCTCCAGCTTCCAAATGAATGTGTCAAGCTGTTACTACAAAGCTTGAACCTCATGGTTGAAGAAATGCAAAACAGGATTGGAAGCTAGATGTAGCTAGTACCTAATCAAGAGGTTGGAACAATATGTTCACCCTTTGAGAGTTTGCTCAGCAATGTGCGTGTGATATGCAATGATCAAGAAAGCAGAGTTTGTGAAGAGTGAGGGCTGTGAGGAGGAGTGCCGTTTTAGAGTCTTTTTCGCTGGGGTCCTTCGTTTATCTATGAAGATGTGTTCCTTTTTTTACCGCCCTTACTTCCCACATTGCTCTTTGATGCCGGCCACTGCAGCTGCAGAGACCGTTTTCTAAAGGGAAAGATGCTACCATGCAAATGCGAGTGATATTTTGTGGTCACTCGGGCCCAAACGATGCAAAGCTGTGGGCCCTGGCCGCTCTCAGGAGGATCCAAAAGATCGGCTCCAACTATCGTGCCTTCAAGCGCATAGGTGGGAGGAGAAGCCGTGTTTTCGCAGAGTTCAAGCGTTTGGTTTTTGAAGCGAGAAAGTTCAGCCCTCCACACCGCGTTGCATAGAATTGACATCAGGATTGCCTCTCTCTAGGGCAACCACGAAGTGTTTGATCAGCATCTCGTTTCTTGCAGAAGGTATCTCGGGCGACTGGAAGACCAACACTTGCACCTCCATCATGGACGAGATTGAGTGCACCGAACGCAGCTGGGACACAAAAAAGGCCCAGTTGCAGATATTTGGAGCTAAGGCCCTGGATTAGGGCATCCTGTTTTTTCAGTCGAGTTTGCAAAATGCGAAAACACAACATCCCAATGCAACTTTCCAACATCTAAAGAAATGCAATTGCACCAAAAACTTCCACAACCACCGAGGGTATCGCCGCTGGGCCGACGCTGCAGCCACCTTTTTTGGTGGCCTGGATATCTTGACGGTGGACGCGATCATTGAGGCAGAGACCGGCAAGGCACATTGGTTGGTTTGACGATATTGGCAATTCAGTTGTGGTTGGATCATGTTGGATCGTCTTTGGGCAAACGTGACCGCAAGTGATTTAGGGCTGGGGAGTATTCATCAGGATCCAGGTGGGATCTTGGATTTTGGGGGCTTTGAGCGTCTATGGGATGTTGTGGGTATGCTTTCGAGAGTCAAGCTTACCCTCTTTTTGGTTTGCATATGGCATGTGTTTGCATTGTTTTGATCCTTGTTTGTTTATGTGTGTTTTTCTTTTGACCTCCCACTGCCCCACCCCTGTTTTGGTGTTTTTAGCACTCAGATCCTGCAGGGTCCAGTCACGACAATGAGTTCTTTTTGCATGTAGAAAGAATGGCAAAGTCCAGATACCACACAGTCAAGAAATTATACGGTGGCAACGCAGGAAACCTTGCTTGGCTACACAGGTGGAGCTGAATCGTAGGTACTAGAAACCCGTGCCTACTGCCATGTGCAATTTGATTTCCTGACAGATCTGGATAGGGTATGCCACGTGTTTAGTGGAGAAGATACAAGCTGCTGCACAAAGTTCTGACCATCATCAGTGATTTGATGTTTTCTCCGATGCCGAGTCAGGAGTTTATTTTGGAGGTGAACGGGACCTCCTCTGGGTTGCATCCAGACAAAGCTGAGGAGCGACCAAGGCACTCTGGTATCTCTCAGGGTGTTCGACGACGGTACACAATAGGTGAGCTATGGCAGGCTGATGCACCAATGCATAGGCAACCCGGTTCGACGGCCGTTGCTCGCCAGGAGGACAACGGTTTCATCAAGCAGTTGCTTTTGGAGAAGATGAACTTGACCTTGTGCTGAGTCATCCTTTTCTGTTCCCCACATTTGCCGTGTGCAGACCTTGGATACCATGACCCAGGGTGGTAGTGTGGGGCCAGAAGAAACGATCAAGACAGACACCTGATTCTGGCGTGTGAACGTGAGGATGTCGTACCCAGCTACCAACTGACAGTGACCCTCTTTGAGATGTTGAGAAGCAACGCTCCTAAATCCTGTGTTTAGGCTGGAGTGCTACACATTCCGGTTTTGACACGCATCTTTGCCCAGCATCTGTACAGAAAGAGGCGTGGGTGAAAATGGATGAAAATGTGTGAACAGCTGCCCTTCCAAGCCTTCACAAGAATGACAGATTGGGTCACCTTAGCCATTAGTTGCATGATGCAATCTCGAGTTCACCATGGAGAGCTTGCTGGCTGAAAGAGCCAGTGAAACAGCTAAGAGCTAGAATGGAATACATTGAATGATGTATATATACAACATTGTACAATGTCCAGACTAATCGCAGGTCGTGCATCCTGCCTTTTTGGGTTGCAAGGTGAGTGAAAGGCCACGGGTTCGGATCAATGGTCAAATTCTGCTTGCTATAGAGATATCTAAAGGTATTTTACAATGTGTTCATTGTTTCACTAAATTTGTGGTGTAGAGTTCCATTTGGGATACCACCGACAGTGAATGCCCTCCCGTCCTTGAGGTGGTGACGTGGAGCGACTTGGGGGAGAACCCCCCGGTCCTGGTCCAGGAGAGGGCGGTTGTGCTTGGAAAGTTTGGATCCGCTCAACAAGGCTCTTTTGGAAGAGTTTGCTACTAGTAGCAAGGGCATCGCTACTAGGAGGCTCTTTATTGGCTTTTCTTTCGTCTTGTATATTCAGGCCTCGTTAGTACCAGGACTTGAGCAATCCAGCGCAAGAGGGGAATTGTATGGGATCATTTTGGCGTTGGGAAAGTTCTTTGCTTCACACATTTACACTGATTATCAGAATTGCGTAGATAAGATTCGTCTTTTGCAGACTCACGGTTATGTTGTTCCTCCCTCATGGAGCAATCAAGATTTGTGGAAGTGTATTGCAGATCTCTTGGCAGATCGCGGAGCACATGTTCATGTTGAGAAGATCCAAGCGCATGCAACTTTGGACAAGCTGCAAGAACCAATTCGCGAATTGTGTTGGCAAAACCACCAAGTTGACCACGCAGCTAAATCCGTGCTTCTTTTGAGAGCACCTTGCGAAAGACTGTATAAGCAAGTTTTTAACAAGTTCAAAGACCAACGAGCTCGTTTGCATAATTATCACAAATTCTTGGTTTCTGCAGCGAACCATCGCTTTTCACTCACCGAAGACAAGGAAAATAAGTTTTCACTTAATTAACCCTCTCATGTCTACAGACAATGTACTTATTCTTGACATCGACTGGGAGAAACGCGACCAGGTCTGTCAAACACAAGACAACTGGCCAACAGCGTTTGTTGATGCCTTATTGCAATGGGTGATTTTGCTGCGCTGGCCTCATGGCGAGCCTGTTTGTCCTGAAAACGATATCCCTTGGTGTGAATTGTATATCGACTTCATTGCGCACGCACGTACTCTAGCCCCAACACTCATTCCTGGGACTAAGAAGTGTGGGGTCGCTGCTAGGCATGCTTCAAAACACAATCCGCTTGTGTATCACGTCTCTCCCACTTTGGGACGGGGCATTAGCACCTTCGCAAAGGGGTCATTGCCATGCCTTTCGCATACTGCACCAAAGCTTTGTCAGCACGCAGATTAGGCTTTTCTGCAGTAAAGCCTGGCATTGCGGCCCGGCCTTCACGTGTAGGTGGCCTTAATGCTGCACGCTGGTTTCAGAACACGCTGACCAGCACAAAGAAAACTCGGAACGATTTGTCTTTTACGTTGACGACACCACCGCTTTTTCAAATTCGTAATTAAATACCCTTGATGTACTTGAATCCGCATCCGGCTTTGCTTTCGTTCGGCCACGCCCTTAGTTTCTTGCCTTCGTGCCTTCCGTGCATTCGTGTTTTCTCGCTGTAAATTGTTCCTGCATTGGGGACCAACCAGGTTGTGCCTCGGTGTCAGATCATTGCAAAGAGGAAAGCAAGACATTTTCTTTCGTCTTGTTACCGACGTGGCCAGATGTGGTAGGGGAATGCTGGCCCTCGGCGCTTGCATTGCTTCAGGAGACCCACCATGCCTATCCGCTGGCGTCGCTTGGTGACAAGAAAAGCATGATTGATGGACGTTCAGAGTAATAACCGGTTCGGCAGTTGTCAGAAGCTCCCGATGTCCAAGTCCAGGGTGCACATTTTTTTGATCCACCCTCAACTCATCGCAACTCGGGGCCCATAAGACATATTAAGTTGAAGAGCTTCTGGTGAGTGCTCCAATTCGCCATGTTTTGGTGCTAGTGAGTGCTAAGGGGCAAACATATGTGTTTGGTATGCTACAAAGGCCGGTGCCAGTGTATGTGTTTGCAGATGTTTGCAGTATAGACTCCAACAAAATGTTGTTGACTATGTTGGCCTCTCAGTAAGTGCCCGGCATTTTGCAATGTTTCCTATCATGGTTTGCTTAATTCCCATCCATGCCAACCCTGGGGGGCTCTTTCACAGTCAAGACCATTGGGGATATTGGGGTTAGTAAACTTACTCACCAAAAGAACTAGATAGAATTATATAGATGCTATGCATATCTATGCCACTATGCATGGATTTTCCCGGTCTCATGCTCGTTCAATCCAAGGACACAGATTTTTACGGCCTTTGCGATCTCCAAGACATTTGGAGTGTGGAAGCACAGCGACTACTGAAGTTTCACTGGGCTGTTCTAGCAGGTTCCGACAGCGGTCAACCACATTGTTGTTTGATAATCAAGAAACTTTATATTTGGAGAATCCTCCAATAAGAATGACTTCCGCCGAGATACGTGCTTCGTGGTTGGAAAGGTTGAGACAGGCTTGATTTGCAACATCCATGTGGCCCCCGCCCTAGGCAGTCAGAGAATAGTCGAGGGATAATGAAGGATCTGTGCTTTTCAAGCCATTGATCACTTGTCAGGCTATGTAGGGGGAGGCCGCTCATCCCAGTCGAAAGACACCACGCTTCGAATCAAAAGCCCAGGAGCCCATCCTGCAGTTGCCAGCATGTGTTGCCGACATGTGGTTAGCAGTTGTTCTTGACGGGAGGCTTTGGGCTTAGAGTTATATAGAGGAAGTGAGGAAGGAATAGTTCATAGCTTAGCAAGCTGTGGGACATGAAACTGCTTGAGCTGGAACCAAGCCTCGGAATTCAACGAAGTGTGGATATAGCCTTAAACAGCTCAAGCACAACTGGTCTCGACCCCATGAGCTCCTTTGTTGCCTTGAGCAGCCATTTCGCTTCAAGTTTATGTGGGCCAGAAAGGAAAGAGTCAAATCCAGCCCGTAGTTTTCAAGGAGCTCTTCATGAGACTGCTGGAAAGATCAGTTTGGAAGTCAGTATGTTGGATACCTTGTACACCTGCCTTTTTCAGGCTTGAGTGGAATCTGGAGATTGAGGGTGCATTGCAAGTTGGGTGGAGGGAGGTCTTATCCTTGGAGCATCTTGGACCCAGAAAGGCCTGAGGCCGCAGAGTGAGATAGTTAATTTATTGTTCTATTACATATTATTATATAATTATGTTTTATTGAATTCCCTGATTGCTCCTTGTCACAATCTTAGCTCGGACGTTCACCTCCACAGGCGGTTGTGGGGTGGAACCTTCTCGAACCACTTGGTGGAGTTTGAGTGTCAAATGCTTTAGATTCCCAGACCCCACTGATGAAATCTGAACCAATTTGTCCACCTTCCGTTGCCTTGCACTGAGAACCCAGTGAACCGTAGAGGTGTTGGGGTGTGGGAGAGATGCGTTCAAAAGGAATCCGGAATATAACTGCAGGGCCTACAGGCTACTAGCGATGGCCTCCAACCTAATAGCGATGGCCAACCTAATAGCGATGGCCTCCAGCCTAAGTATGTCCTTTTTGTTGTGGGTACCTGCGGCAGCAACAGCCACTGGCATGGCCCTCGTGAGCTGGAAGAGTGCGCGGATCACTGCTGCGGGCTTGGGCTTGTGACTTGGAGGCTCTCAAGAGATGATGAAGGATTGATCTTTGAAGTTTGCAAGGGATCAAGCATGTACTAGTAGTTGACACCCCATACATGTTCAAGGTGACTGGGATGGGTTTGTTGAATCTCTTCCCAAGGACCCGGGTTCTACAGGTTCTAGTCAGCTGTTTCCTTTGTGATCCAATCATCAGATCCCATGCCTCGCCTCAGGTTGGAGCCCGGTCGGTGGCTGGATGCCGCTTGGTGGTGACGTGCCGAAACCTGGGCCGGTAGAGCGTCACAAAAATCTTGAGTCGATGTTGTCTAAATGCTTTTCAAGAGATAATTTGGAAGGATATTTGCCTTACAGTCACCTAGCCTACTCCTGGAGCTAGATCTTTGTAGTGATTCCTTCAAGAGGGTATGCCACATCCGTTGCCGAATCCGCCGTAGTCCGATTGGTTGATGCCACAGTCCAATTCGAAACAACGAGCAAAGTCGTTCAGCGCATGCGGCGCATGCAACCGGCGGACCGGCCGTGGAAGGGCCGTGCCGCCCAGGACGAAGTCATGAACTTCTGGATCCAGTACTACACCACAACAGATCCACCAGCTCCATGGCCAGAAACAGTGTCAATACATATACATGTTAAATTATATGTATATATATATATATATGTGTGTGTGAGAGGGTGTTGTATATGATTTGTAATTTGTAGAGTTCGCCAGACTTTGAAGAGAAGTGGTTGGTTTAGTATTGTTTACACAGTATGTATCAACAAACTCAATTTATTTGCAATGATTCCCTAACAACACCTTGCCAGATTCTTACTTGTTTGCTTCTCCTTCAGTTGTTCGTTTTTGTGATGCTACACCTTGGAAGTGGACCCTTGGGTGACTCACACAGATTATGTACGGCAATGTGGCCACGGTCACCCTTTGGATCTCAGGACGGACTTGGT